CATTTAGACAGGCTGCTGCTGAGCAAAGTCTTTCTATTTCAGAACATTGCAGAGCTAGACACAAATACCCTACAGCAGATTCACCTGCTTAAAGCAAGAGTCCATCAAATACACACTTATTTAACACATACAGCCGCTGCTGTGGAGGTGACACACTGACATTACGGTAAGCAGTGCAGCACCAAAACACATCACAGCTCGAGACGAGCGATAAAGTTGTGATTTCTCAGTTCACTGTCAGATTGCTTTGGAGTCGTTGCATTTGCAATCCATTGGCAAACAACATGAAAATGGAAGGAAAATTCATTAAAAATCTTAATACTTACTCCACTGATTTAATAAGCTATTCATGTGCATCTTGTAGTGGAACAAATCCAGAAGCCTCTGCAGAAACTGAGGAGGAACCACAGTCAAAAAGCACACACACACACACACACACACGCACACACACAGCTTTTTACAAAGACAAGACAAGAGAAAAACAAGCAAGCAAGCAACACTGAACAATAACACAAACACTGATTGACAGACAGGACACTGAACTACGAGACAGCTGTTACTTCATGCATTATGGTTAAAAACTGCTAAAGAAACAAAATCAGTGCCTTTGCACAAAAAGACATACAAACCTTCCTGTTTATGATTATTATTATTATTATTCATGATGCTGAATTAACACCACTGTCACAGTGGTTCACAACCCATGTGACCTGTGATCCTTCCTTATCAGGAGAGTGATAAGTGATTTGAGTGAGTGATTTTTTTTTCTTTCCAGGAGAGTTATAAACCTTAAAAAGCAAAAACTTTAACCTTGATTTTGAATTCTGTACTTTAATTGGAATATCAATATTTTGACCAGTGTAAAAATTAGCAGCTAACGCTAGCAAGCTTGAGTAACAAGCAGCATCCATAAACTGTACAAGTGCAGTTGAATGGTCAGTACCTCACACTAGGCTGTATCATTTGTCAGAGAACAACAGCTCAAACACAGCAGAGACATCCACTTTAGCAGCTTCACTTAGCAGAATTCACTCGTTAAAGAGTTGCCATAAAAATGAAAACTATCCATAAAGGCCAACATTTTTTGTACCATGTTACACGCATGTGTTTGAATCCTGTTTAAAGTGGCCACTTTGAAGTAAGATTCTATGGGGATTGACTCATTTTTAGAGTCAAAGTCAAGTGGACATTAGAAGAACTGCAGCTTTTTTGAACTTTGTCACTGGTTTCATTTCTCAGCTTAGAAAGCTGAGGTGACACTTTTAAATGGATCATGCTAAACAAATTTGATATCACACATTATAATTAGTCCTGTTGCTAAACTGTAAATATCTGTTAAGACAGCTTTAAGGATGTGCACACCTAACCACAAAGCACGTTTCCTTTTTCTCTCTTCTATCTGGCTTTAAGTAAAAAAAAAAAAATGGCCCCTCTTCAGAGTTTCTGGGGACCGCACTATGAATGACTACCCCTGGGTGAAACCAGTGGGCACTGTCACAGTTTGGTGTTTTCCATTGTAGTCAATATTAAGTTCGGATGGTGCTGAGCATTTCGCGCCTAGTGGCAGACAAACTTTAGTTTTAACCGTTTAACATAATCCACTTTCTGTTAAATCGTCCAGCACTTACATAGACTGAGTCCCAGCGTCGATGTGCAGATCTGCTTTAAAGTGTCGCTGAAATACTTGGCATCATATATCCGCTCTACTTCGCTTTGTGTGCAGGAAGTCGCGGTTGTTTTGGTAGCTTTCTTCACAGAGAGCGGGTGGTAAAGTCAGCTCACGGCGTCGGTGTTGAAATGAGCCTCGCTAATGCAAATGCATGTTTCATGTGTTGTCTTAGGAACCAGCTTCACCAGCACGTCGGTGGATGAAACTCCACCCACGAGGAGAGGAGGCCGGCCAGCGCGGGCAGGCAGGGAGACAGCCTCAAAGAGTCTGTGTTGATGTCGGGAGGATACTGAGGAAATGATGAACATTTTCACATACAGTGGCGATTTTTGTTTTTTACAGGCTTTATGACACACTGGATTTAAATGTATTGTTAGAGGGCAACTATTGTACTTCAAGGGCCCTGCAAGCCTGTGCTGAGTCTTCACAACAATACTGACTATAAAGGATACAGTGCTGTCACAGCTGTTCGTACTGATGAGAAGTATCTAGATACAGCACAGAGGTGGGAGTGTTTTGAACAATGCTGAGTACTGGCTCAGAGCATAAACTCCCACTCAGTCAGTGTGGGAAATGAATAGATTGGAGCAGACCGCGCACAAATAAACGAAAAATGGACGTAGGGGCGCGGGGGTCTGTATATGACAAGGGTAACACAACAATACAGGATCATTTAGGCTAACCCTTTTCTGTCACTATCAATCAAGGTAATTAGCAACATAATTTGTGGATTAACATACTTGATAGCACCAGAAAATTATTTGTTGACATATTATCTCAAAATGGAATCCCTACAGGGTAGTCCTGTTAGTCCCTTTAGTCTGATTTACATTTCAAATGACATAATGCCAGCTTCAAAACGCAAGACCAGGTCCCCACCACATCAAAGCAACGCAGTGAATATGTTATATTTACACCGTAAAAAGTTCCACTTTTAACAGCATGTACATTTAGATAGTTTGATGTTTTTTTTTTCCAATTTGTCTATTTAAAATAAATGCCACGCAGTCTGACAGACATAAAATAGTATTTCCCAAAAAAAAGGGTAATTCCAAAAGAGCTATTAACTGAAAGCCTGGCATATGTCATCGTGGTGCACAGTCAAAGTCAGCTGGAGGACAAAAGAAGAAGTGGCAAGCCTAAAAAACACCTACAGCAGAAGAACAGTATCTAAAGGCCTGTGCTTACAAAAGAGCAAAAGCAAAAACCTGACACCGGACCGAGAGATGCATTTGGACCTTCAGCTGATTCGTCTAGTGTTCACCAAGCCTCATCAGTAATGGTGTCAGTGGAAAGGTGACTGTCAAGAAGCCATGTGTTTTTATGGAGTGATGAATTCAAATGTGATTTTTTTTTTCAAACTGTTATGGATATGTAAGCTCAGGATAAAGTGTTTACAGCCATCTGTACAACGCAGTGGCTGCTCTGTCAGATTTTGGGGCTGCATTTCAGTCTGTGGTGTTGGAGATCTTGTTAAATTTGATTGAATTAGGGATGAAGAAAACAATCTTTTGATCTACTATGTGATATCATCTGGAAAACATCTGATTTCCAATAACTAGATAGGAAAATACATAGTGGAACACTATCAGTCATGGGTTGGCCTTCCCGGAGCTCAGACATTATTGAAGCTGTGTGAACACAACAAAAAGCAGAAACATCCAAAGAAGAGCTCTGATTGTCCTTCAAGAAGCCTGGAGAACTATTCCTGAAGACTGCTTAAAGACATTACAGGAGAGCTTGCCTAAGAGAGTTTAGACTGTGATAAAGAATAACGGTGATCGTACCAAATACTGACTTTCAAGCTTGTTGGAAACTATCTGATGTAGTCTTTATGAAAAACTGTGTCTACCTTAAAGTTTAAAGGTCAGCTTGCACACAGGCGTGTCGCCCAGAAGCTGACGAATATCTGTGTGTTCACAAGAGGTGTGTCGAGCTTCTTGAAAGAAACACTGGCACCGTCTTCTCCCTGTGAGCGATGCGTTTGGTTTACTGCCAGCTCAGAAGGGAAAAAAATACATGCAGACTGTCAGCTGCGAGGCTGCTGTGGGTGTTGCAGGTTTGCTGTGAGGCTGCCATCTGCTGACAATCAGCCATGCTGGTGAATCATGGAGACTCAGCTGTCCATTTCTGAGCCCACTCACCGGTGCTGTTGCAATCATCAGTCAGCACTCCAGTCATTACACAGCATCAAATGCTAATTGCATTTTTTTCCCACTTGTTTACTTATCTAACATGAGATTTTTTTTCCTTTACTTCAACCAGGGGTGTTGCTGTATTTCCCATTTGTTTGTCCATCTGTACGTGCTACAACAACGACCTTTCTGATTTGAATAAAAATTGGTGGAGTGGTTGAGAACCTGTTAAATTTTGTTGTCTGCACCTTGAGCAGTGTACAGAGCCCTCAGTGGGTCTAAACTGCAGCTGTGTTTATGCCCAATTTTTAATTCGTGGAAATCTCAAAAATTTCACAGGCCACACCTTGAATCACAGCCAATCAAAACCTGCATAAAATATACATCAAAAAGTGACATTATCGTTTAATCAGACAGGACAGGATGCCCCGTTCTGATGTGTTAAAGTGTTGCTAGAAATATTACAGTTACAGACACCTCTAGGATTATCTGTAAAATCATTACAATACATAACATTTGAAGATTTTTCTACATCCTCACACTGGTTGTTTTCACAGAGGTCTGCCAGCAGCAGTACATTCCAGCTATAAATGAAGCGATCAAACATCCTGCTTTAATTCTGCTTCAGTGCTTCTATTTTTACCACCAGCAAGTTCCTCATTCTCACTCTCAGCTTCTTCCTGCTGCTTTCCTACTGTTGGGTACTTCCATCTTCATCTGCGCTCTCACTCTCTCCAGGCTGGATTTTCAGTGCTACCTGTGCTTTATTCCCCATTGAAGCACCATAGAAAATACCCCAATGTGTTTTTCTTTTGAGAGGAATTGCAGTGAGGTGCACTGGTAAGGAAGGCGATGTTGTAGCCATGTGCTTCTGTCCACACTGGTGCTTGCGTGTGTCGCTGCATGCTTGGCTGAATAAGATGCATTTAAGGATACGGTTGAAACAACACTGACTGTAACGTGACTTCTCTGAAGATGAAAGATGCTGTTGTCTACATGACACTTTCCTCAAACTTCATGTGGCTTTCTGACAAATATATCTGAATCTTATATAATAGATTCAGAAGACACTGAATTTTCTTTTTATTTACATTTTACCCATTGTGCCAACAATGTGCCAAAGAACTTCAGACCTACTTGTAGTGACTTTTTAAACTCGTTCAAAATGCCATAAATATAAAGATTTACGCATTTAATTACTGGGTAACACAGATTCAGAAATTCTTTAGTTACAGCAAAAACAGAAAAAGACAAAACTGAATACAATGGATGTTTAATAAATGAAGCTGCTACACAGGTTCAATAGGGAACAACTGTAATCACACATCTCAGGTGGCTGTGGCTCAGGCAGTAAAGCAGTTCATGTAGCAGTCCAAAGATTAGGGAACTGATCTCTGGTGCTTCCTGTCGATATGAACCCTGAGTTGCCCCTGATGCATCCACCAGAACGTGTTTAAATGTTAGATAAATGTTGTGTGTGGGAGTGACGTGAAAGCACTTTGAGTGCTGAAATTAAATAGAAATGTGCTTTAAAAGAATCAGAACATTAATCTAGCTGTGTGTCTGTTCTTTAGATCACTTCCACTTCCCCATACTGTCAGACTCAATGCTGATATCTCTGCTCTTGTCCAATCAACTTCTTTCCCCTCTTCTCTGAGCCAATAAGCCTCCATTCTCTGTGCTCTTCTGTCTTTCAGATTCTCATTTGATCAGCCCTCCTCAAAAGCACCCCATAGTCACTGGAGCCACCATCTTCATCTTCATCACCGCCAGCGTCCAGCCTCCAGAGGGTCCTATTCTAATATCACTACCAGGATACTGTTATAGTGTGATGGCCCATGTAATCTATTCACCAAATGGCTTGTTATAATTCTGAATTGCAATAAATCACATTCAATTCATATTTTGTCAGAATAATAAATTATGGCCAAAACAAATCCAATAGGGTTAAACAAGGATACATTTAAAATTATTGCGCAATAATATAACAAAAATGGAAAAATTCCTCCACTATTTAACACACATAACATCTCAAACACCCCACTCCACATTTTCCAAAAGTTTTATTTATATAAAAATTATACACGCTAAATAGAAACAGCATTTGTCAAGGTTGGCAAAGGAGCCTCCAAAGGAGCAGCAGCAGCAGTAATATTAAACAGGGATGATCAGGCTTCCTGTTTGACAGGCAAAAATTATATTGAACCAACTCACAGGTGACATTTTATCCCTGCAACACCCTACAGTTATCACAATAAATCACCAGCAGTAAACCTGATTTCTCATCTTCAAGTCACTACTGCCACCTGCTGGTTTGTCATGTATGACTACTATGCATGAGTAAACGGGACCCTGACAAAAAAAGCTGCGGGATACACATAGCTTGATTGCAGTATAAAGTAATCAGTGCAATTTAGACATTTTTGTTTAACACATCGAGAATCATTCCGACAAACCCGTCTTAAAGTGCAGTGCACGAGCCACTGGTGAGGTATCTTTGGTATTTTTCTCTGCAGTACAAACAAACGTCACGGTGCAGGTCTGAGGACCGTGATTTGATCTTAATCTAAATCTGACAAACACACAAAAACAAAATGTTAATTCAGACAACACATGACTAGTCACCGAACGCTTTGCTTTAGAAATATGTGTGTCAGTACAGCTTTGCTCTCTTGAAATGCTGTGTTTTGTTTTGTTTTGTTTTTTTGCTGCTGAACTCTAAAAAGGGCAAACTGCTTCAGAGGAGGGGGCATCCATGAGTCTTAACTGAGCGACTTACCATAACTTCCTGTCGCCAATTCAAACAGGAAGCAAAAAGTACTGTGTTGTGCTGGGTTTTGTGACTCCACGTACACATAGACCCTAAACCCATCAGGCACTAACAGGAAAATACTTTCAAAGAACCTTTGGTATAGAAGCACTTCTTTGGCATAGGCTAGGAGCAGTAAAAGAAGCTGAAGCACTGCAGTGAATACACATTTTCTTTCAAAGATCACAGAACTGTTGATTGCTCAAGGAAGGGACTGTAACATAGATGTTGAGCCCACTGATGAGTCAAACAGAAAATTCGGTCACATTTTTAACTCTTTGATTATTTTTTGGGTCAAAAAATAATATCACAAAGTAAAAAAGGTGGCAAGTCATTTTTTAAATGAATGTGTGACTTACTAACTGAAGCTAAGGTTTAAAGCTGTGTCTTAACGTGGCCTTAGCCCAAGGAGGTAGATCAGTACTCACTGGCAGGGTTTTATTCTGATCAGTGTTTAGGCACATCTGATCTTTGATGTTAGTGACATGTCTGAGTTGAGCAACTTTTCAACATACTTTCTTTCCTCATCAGTTTTAAAATTTAAGGCAACAACCATTTTCATTCTCACTTTCCCTACAGCGATCATATTCTTCAGCAACTCATCTGATTGAGTTTAGTGTAATTTATGACAAAAAGGAAATATCAAAGTGTCACATTTGACAAGGTGGAACCGCCAAACTTTTGGCACAGAAATAAATTAAACACTTAACTTATCACAAAAGGGTTTTTTTATAGCCTAAATGAGTACTTGATTAACTTTTGAGTTGAGTGTTAATACAAAAATGTTCCCATTTTTCTTTTTATTAGTAGATTTGAAAACATATCTGCTATAATTCTGTTTATGAAAAGCCAAATATTCAGTATTGAGTAAGGAGACTGATGAGGATGAGTCTAAACTAAGACCTAAAAGGTTTTCAAGAAGATATTTTTCTGTTGATAGACTGATCAGCTGATGCTGTTTGCCACCCTAACCTCTGTGTATCAGCTGGCCTTCTTTCCTTTGCAGCAGACTTACTCTCTTAGAATTGCCTGGTAAGGCACCAGGTAAATGTGATCAGCATCTTTCGTGGCTTTTGGCAAAGTCCTGCCAAACCCTCAGCAGCTTTGGTGCCTTAAAGCCATTAGCAATGATCAACTTGGCGAAGGTGCACCTGTCGTACTTCAGGTTTTTGATTTCGAACAGGCTTCTGAAGAACGGCAGGCTGTAGGCGTACACAGGCCTGACACCCAGTATCCGCAAGCACAAGCCCACATAGACATCCTCCAAAGGGATGACCCGCACAAACCTGGAGGCCCAGGAGATCCTGGCTGCCAGGTCAGCGGAGAACACGTAACCGGCTCCAGACACGTAGGAGGGGAAGCTCTCCTCTGGATATAGCTCCTCTGACACGTACCACTTGCTGTTGGGCTTCCGCCGTGGCCTGCCATCCTGGATCACCGACCCTGTGATGAAGTTCTCCTTGGGGGAGTTCCTCAGCCACTGGATCAGGTAAAAGACATTAACGAAGATGTCTGCATCCACCTTCATGGCGTAGGACGCACCGGGGCAGTAAGTAGCCAGCCACCTCATCATCATCATGGTTTTGATTGTCAGATTGTGGTAATTATCCACAAAGTTCATCTGGACGATGTCTGCATGCTGCCTGCTCTCCTCCTCCAGTTTCTGCTGGAGGGCCGACATCTGTGGCCTCTGTGGGATCCCCACAAAGAAAAGAGTGAGGGTGTCCCGGCCAGAGGCGCTCCACGTTTTCCTGATGGCCTCCCGTGCCGCAGCGTCCTCAGCCCCCACGGGCACCATGAACAATAGGAAGGGGCTCCTGTGCCTGCAAACACTGGGCTGATTGAGGAGGTAGCGGTATGTCTGAGGGTCTACGAGACGGTACTCCTCCGGGGGAAGCGGGCTGGGCTCTGGCGTCTGTTTACTCAGTGAGCTCGCTAAGATATGCGCAGTCAGGGCCAGCACAGCGGCAGCGCTGAGTAACTTCACCAGCCTCCGGATTAAAGTTGCCCGCATGGTCTAAACCGACGAGCCTCTCTTTATTTCCCTAACGCGTCCGATAGCAGGCCCCTCAGCCCGGGTCCCCGTGATCCCACACGGAACATGTTTCCCAGCTGGGAGGACCGGGAAGTAGAAAGTTGTCTTACAAGCTGCCACTTCTTCTTCGTCTCTTCTTCCGCGGTTGAAGGCCAACAATAAGGCGTGTTACTGCCAACTCCACGGGTGCGTTCCAAAAGTACCTCCGACCTCCTACTCCTAACCACTTTCCTGACCTCGAAAAACACTTTATCGACTTCAAGGAAAATTTACGTTAGTCGTCTCCTCAGGATTGAGCCTCTAACTCGTCCTGCTGGCAGCAGATTGATGGTTTTTATTGAACTGGCTGCATCTTAGTATATAAATGACAGTAAGGAGCAAGCTCTGTTTGCCCAAGTGCAACAGATTTTGAGCTAGTTTTCCTTTCTTTCTAAAGTTTAGTTTTGAGTTTTTATGTTAGTAAGTTTTTCATACGTAATTTTCTTTAGGTTAATAAAGATAACCTACATATCTTTAGGTTACTTTTAGTTAAGTATAACAACCTTGGAAAAGGCACTAATATTTCTTAATTTCCTAGTGAGACAAGAATCACATTAGATGTTTCAAGTTAGTGCTTTGTCACATTCAGAGTAAAATGTGTTCAGGTGTCGACATATGTCTGGTTATGGGAAGGCTCTCATTCTGCTTCTCTTGCACGGCTAATGTAGGTGGTCAGATGTTCATGACTCTGCTGCTGGTAGAAAAAAACAACAACTGATGTCAGGAAGTTTTTCTTCTTCTCTGGTTTATTAACAAACATTAAATGCAGTAAATGTCATCACAGCCTACACCAAAAACTTTCAGTCAGCTGCTGCTATGTTGGCTTCTGTATCAGTTTCAGAGAGTCTATCTGTTGTCTCCAGTGTGTGTTCCAGCTCTGCTGTTCGCTCAGCTGTCTTCGTTTCATGTCGTCTGAGAGCAACAGTTCCAACTTGACCACTTGCTCAAACCGCTGACACACACACACACACACAAACATTAATTACGTGTGTCATTTTGTTTGTGTGTGTGTGTGTGTGTGTGTGTGTGTGTATACACACCTTCATAGCAGTGTTTCTTTGCTCCATAACAGTCACATGTCCTGGGGTCCACTTGGATGTAGCGATCGAAACTGTTGTTACCGCAGTATGAGAAGATGGCAGGTCACCTGTGCTGTTGGTTGTCATGTCCCCCCACACACACACACACACACACACACACACACACACACACACACACACTTTAAATTGACTATAGTTTCTTCTCTAGTCACAAACATCTGTACTATATTGGGTAACATGCAGGTCAGAGGTCAAAGGTTACCTATTTTCAGCGCTTGGTCTGCTTCCTGTTTCAGATGCTGCTTCTACAGTAACAGCACCACCTTCTGTCTGCTGTCGTGCTGTTGCTGTACCAGTTTCTATGGAAACAGGTTAAACATAAAAATTATTCAAAGTTGTTTTGGAAGTACTCATCTTGAAATGCATCTGGGAACTTATCTGGGCAGAAATTTTTAAGCACTATATAAATAAACTTTAATTTCATTGGTTACCCAGATATATAAAATGCACGTGGGAAATCACCAGTCAGATGCTTTCAAATTTTAGTGACTTTATCCAGAAAGTATTCACTTCACTTGTTTCACATTTTGGAATGTAACAGCCTTTTCACCTCAAAATTCTACACACAATACCCCACAATCTTTGCTCAATACTTTGTTGAAGCAACTTTGGCAGCAAATACAGTTTGAAGTCTTTTTTGAGTATGATGCTACAAGCATGGTACACATATTTTGGGGTAGCTTCTCCAAATTTTCTTTGCAGAACCTCTCATGTTTCATCAGGTTGGATTTGAAGGATTGGTGCACATTTTCAGATCTCTCCAGAGATGTTCAATTGGGTTCAAGTCTGGTCTGTGGCTGAACAACTCAAGGACATTGACAGAGTGGTCCCAAAGCCAGAGAACTTTGTTTCTCATGGGCTGAGCATCCTTCATATGGTTTTTCAGCAAACTCCAGGCAGGCTGCCATGTGCATTTGACTGCCGAGTCACTTCTGTCAGCCCAGGGCTGATTGGTGGAGTGCTGCAGAAATGGTTGTACTCCTGGAAGGTTCTTGTCTCTCTACAGAGCAATGCTGGAGCTCTGGCAGAACAATCATTATGTTCTTGGGCACCTGCCTGATGGATGCCATTTAAATCCGATCGCTCAGACAAACTTACATTTCCAAGGTCATTTTATTGGAATCATCAATAAACTCCAATAAAAAAACAATTCAAAAACTTGACAACACTGCCATCTTTTTACATATGAGCCTAAGCGACTATTCCAAGGTCTGATGTCTTGGTGCTAATTACCATGGGGAAATTGCTATGTAGGCTCCATTACTTGCAGCACATCAGGCAGGTGATCATCTATGATTTATAGCCTAACTGAACAGATGTTTATAATATGTCCATTACAGCTTAAGGTAAGCATCTCTGCACACACACACACAGCCATTATGATGGTACAAATGAGTAAAGGTTACCTGCAGGGCTAAAGAGGTCATTCATCTGATGGAGCAGCTTCTCTGTCAGAGAAGCCAGTGATGTAACAAACTCCTCCCCTCTGCCTCTCACACATTCCTGCATTCAATAATATAATGCACACTCAAAGTGAGACTGCAGATTAGAAAGGTGTTATCTGGTGCCACTGTCACATACCTGCAGCTCAAGGTGTGCACTGGAGATAGTGCTGTGTAGCTGCTGCTGTCTCAGCTCTTCTCTGCTGTTCAGCATCTCCAGCTCATCCTCCCCGAGAGACGTTCGCAGCTGACCTATGTTCACACTCTGACAACCAGACACATAGAAACCAGTCAGCTTGCAGATCTTTACTGTCTGTATCAGAGCCTTCTGCATCACAGCTTCACACCTTCTCCTTCTCACTGGCTGCCAGAGTCTTCTCCAGTTTCTGTGTGAGTCTCGCCACTTCCTCTCTGAGCCCCGCCCCATGCTGTCGCTCATGGTGACTGATCAAAACTGCAGGTGATAAAAGTAGCAGCTCCTCGAACACAGACAGCTGCTTCACCACATCTGACCCATAGACAGGTAGAGACAGACAGTGTGTATAGAATTTTTAGGTGCTTATTCTGTGTGACTGCTTTGAGATATTTGTATCTTTCTAAGATATATAAGTTCAGCCTGATGTTCCTGTTTGTATCTCTCATGTGTCTGTTCTAATTCTGTAGTTTTTGTTTTGGGACATGGGAAAAATATAGCTTTTAGAGATGGTGACATAGAACAGCTCAAACATGTGCATCATGAGCTGAAGGAGAGACTGAAAATGGCAAAAGTGAAATACAAAAAGGAATCTACAGCCCAACAACATCTGTGAGGTGTGGAAGGCAATCAACACCATCTCTGGCTACAGCAAAAACAAAAGACAGCCACTCCTGGGTGAAGTGGGTAGAGCTGATGAACTCAACCAGTTCTTCAATTGATTTTACTCTGTGGTCACACCTACATCCACTGCTGCTCCTCCATCACTTTCTCCTAATTCTTTTCAACACGTGGGCATCTTCAGTGCAACTCCACCAATTGTGTGCTTCTCAACCACAGCTCCCACGTCTCCCTGCATCTCTAATATGGCAGCTATTTCCTATCTCACACCTGTTCTTCCACCATTGTCTGTCACAGAGTCAAAGGTGGGATTGGAACTAGGAAGACTATGCTCTGGGAAGGTTGCCAGTCCAGATGTTGTGTCCAAAACCTGCCTATTCACTCCTCTCCACAGTTGCTTTCTCTGTATCAGGCAGCTTGCAATAAATAATTTAAACCTGGCAACTGTCGTTTTAGTCCACTCTTTGGGACTGGTTTAAGTTACACTCTAACCTGTTAAACTTTATCAGTTGTCATTTTACTGAGCATGTGCAAAAGGGTGTAACTATTGCACTGGAGTTCAGGGCAAATCTCATCCACTCCAGTGGTCCTGCCACTAAGGAGTTTTTAATTTACCTCACCCAAGGTTGCTGAGTTCAGAACGGAGAAAATCCAACTATGTATATAAAGGAAGGCTGGATATTTTCATCTAGCATCTGTTTGGACCAGATCTTTAAAGGACTGTTAGAGTTCAGATTAGGACAAGGTTAAGGCCTCAGCCAGATTATAGTGTAAAATTATAGAAATGTTAGTCATCAAAAAGATGGACAGAAAATTGTTGTATTACTGAATGGGTACCATCTCTGCTGGTGTCCAGAAACCTCCTTGCCTGCTCGTGGTATCCCACCAGCTTCTGCTGCGTGTTCTCAATCCATTGGTCCAAGGAGTCAGGAAGAAGCTGGAAACAGCTTAGACGCTCACTGCGATAAAAGTCCTGATGGATGGGCAAGCGAAAGGTTCGTGTTAGTTTGTGCAGGTTGAGGTCAATTTGACTTCAGTTTGGACCAATGATAACATCAAGTGAGAAGATGATGTGGATCAGTGTGAAGTTAAAGTGGAACCTTAGCATCAGAAAATAATTTAATTATCGAGTGCTCTGTGGTTTTCAGGAAACTGTTAGGGATAGGATTTCCCCTCAGTCATGTTTATGTTACCTCAGCAAGCTGCAGGAGAATGTCATTGGCTTTCCACAACGCCAAATTAACTTTGGAGCTAAAAGACCTGGAATGCAGAAATATCATAATGGAACTAGAACATTCCATAAGCTACACATCAGATCTGAATCAGTTGGGACTCACTGTGCACTCAGATCTGGTTCGGGTCCAAAAATCTGGAACCTTCTCTCATGCCTGATATCAGTCCTGATAAACCTGGCGCGACTCTTTACACTGAAATACAAACACAGGTTAAAAATAAATAGGAAAAACAAGTCATAGATTATCTATAACATATATCTATTAGTGGTTATTGTACTAAAAATGACCTTAATATGAATCCTCAAATTTGCCATTTTGTCTACAGCTAACCTTAAACCTCACATGACCATGTTTGAAGGAAGGGGACAGAACGGATCAGCTAACACCATTTGATTTGGGTAACCCTAACCCTACAATTCTTCTCCCTAGTCTTGGCAAACCCCATTTTCCTCTAAAAATAGGACATGTGTTAGTCAACTATGGAATTCTGTTAGGGATAGTATCCCTTACTCCATTATCCTAATGTACCAGATTATGAGATTTGTGACTTATGGAAATAGGTCTTGGCAATAAGAGAACAAAAAATAATTGTATTCGACACACTTCTAAAATATTTATATTATTCCAAAAAAGTTTAACTTTATTTTTCACCAAAACATAAGGTTAGGTTTAGGGGCAATATACTAGGATAATAATACTAGAAGTATTAGTGTATGACATTACAGTATGACAGTTAGAAAGACTTAGATAGTATTTAAAAATAATAAAAAATTATACAATCTGGGTGTAAGGTCATCAGTGATGATGACATATCAAGAAAGTAAAATGGCTGTCAGTGTTGTTATGTTTGCAGCCATAAACAAAATGACATTGATGTTCAGATGAGTTGCAATGCATCATGTTTCTACATGTGTTTACCTCGGTGCATTGACAGAATCTTGTCTCTGCTGAAGCTGGATAGGATTCAGACCTGCAGAAACACAACATGCTGTCAGTCTGAACTGGGTTGGCTGTTAAACACCAAACGCATTGCAAAAAAACAACAACACGAAATTGAGAATTTTCCAGATCCAAACTTGCTGTATAACGTATATACACACCGAACACATTTTGTGGAAAATTCATCCTCAAAAAAACACACTTTAAAAGAAAATAAGTTGACAGCAAGTCATGATGAGCTGGTTCTGACGTTTCTAAACAAGAAAAGTAAGAAACTGTGATTCTGGGTTCATCCAATTTTCACAAGTAGGCAGCATGACCTGGAGCAGCGTATAGCTGTATGTCTGAAGTAAAACAGAATTATTTTTCTATTTCCATCTCTCTAGTAGTCAGTACTGGTGTGCGTTTGAACTATGAGGTCATTTGTTTCCAAATGCAGTCTGCGGTCAGATCTGTTTATTTGGGTCCAAAAAAATGAAGGTTGGTTTGAAAAAATAAATGCCAAAAATGTGTCCCAGTGAAATAACGCGGTCAGTGTGAACAGATGCACAAAGAATAGCTTTGTCTGAAAAATGTTTAGAATGCACAAAATATTCATATTGATTTTATGCATTCAATGTGTGAAGCCCTTCAGTCACCAATTAATCATCCAGGCTTAAGGGTATGTTAAGAAAGGCTGATACACAGACACACACCTTGTTTATATAGTCTTTGGTTACTCTGAACACACAAATGAAAAACTGTAATGCCAAAATACTTCATTTGAAAGTTTTCAGTTCGTGAAAGTTTTTTTTTATTAAGGATATGACTGAGTTTCAGTCAGGTTTCAGAGCTCATCACAGCACAGAAACAGCTTTAGTGAAGGTTACAAATGATCTTCTTATGGCCTCTGACAGTGGACTCATCTCTGTGCTTGTCCTGCTAGACCTCAGTGCAGCATTCGATACTGTCGACCATAATATCCTATTAGAGCGATTAGAACATGCTGTAGGTATTACAGGTACTGCACTGCAGTGGTTTGTATCATATCTATCTAATAGACTCCAATTTGTGCATGTAAATGGAGAGTCCTCTTCACACACTGAGGTTAATTATGGAGTTCCACAGGGTTCAGTGCTAGGACCAATTCTGTTTACATCTATACATGCTTCCCTTAGGCAGCATCATTAGAAGACATAGCATACATTTTCACTGCTATGCTAGATGACACCCAGCTCTATCTATCCATGAAGCCAGATAACACACACCAATTAGTTAAACTGCAGGAATGTCTTAAATGGAATAAAGACTGGATGGCCGCTACTTTCTATAGCGCTTTACACAACCAGTCATCCCCCATTCACACACACATTAGTAAACTGCGGTGTCTAAAGACATAAAGACCTGGATGGCCGCTAACTTTCTGCTTCTTAATTCAGATAAAACTGAGGTTATTGTACTCGGCCCTGAAAATCTTAGAAATATGGTATCTAACCAGATTCTTACTCTGGATGGCATTACCTTGGCCTCCAGTAACGCGTGAGGAACCTTGGAGTCATTTTTGACCAGGACATGTCCTTCAACGCACATATTAAACAAATATGTAAGACTGCTTTCTTCCATTTGCGCAACATCTCTAAATTAGAAATATCCTGTCTCAGAGTGACGCTGAAAAACTAGTTCATGCATTTATTACTTCCAGGCTGGACTACTGTAATTCATTATTATCAGGATGTCCAAAAACTCACTGAAAAGCCTTCAGCTAATCCAAAATGCTGCAGCAAGAGTACTGACAGGGACTAGAAAGAGAGAGCATATTTCTCCTGTTTTGGCTTCCCTTCATTGGCTTCCTGTTAAATCCAGAATTGAATTCAAAATCCTGCTCCTCACATACAAGGTCTTAAATAATCAGGCCCCATCTTATCTTAATGACCTTGTAGTACCATATCACCCTATTAGAGCACTTCGCTCTCGCTCTGCAGGCCTACTTGTTGTTCCTAGAGTATTTAAAAGTAGAATGGGAGGGAGAGCCTTCAGTTTTCAGGCCCCTCTTCTGTGGAACCAGCTTCCAGTTTGGATTCGGGAGACAGACACTATCTCTACTTTTAAGATTAGGCTTAAACTTTCCTTTTTGCTAAAGCATATAGTTAGGGCTGGACCAGGTGACCCTGAATCCTCCCTTAGTTATGCTGCAATAGACGTAGGCTGCCGGGGGATTCCCATGATGCATTGAGTTTTTCCTTTCCAGTCACCTTTCTCACTCACTATGTGTTAAAGACCTCTCTGCATTGAATCATATCTGTTATTAACCTCTGTCTCTCTTCCACAGCATGTCTTTATCCTGTCTTCCTTCTCTCACCCCAACCGGTCGCAGCAGATGGCCCCGCCCCTCCCTGAGCCTGGTTCTGCCGGAGGTTTCTTCCTGTTAAAAGGGAGTTTTTCCTTCCCACTGTCGCCAAAGTGCTTGCTCATAGGGGGTCATATGATTGTTGGGTTTTTCTCTGTATCTATGAAGCGCCTTGAGGCGACTTTTGTTGTGATTTGGCGCTATATAAATAAAATTGAATTGAATTGAAAGGAGTTTGCATGTTCTCCCCGTGTTTGCGTGGGTTCCCTCCGGGTACTCCGGCTTCCTCCCACCGTCCAAAGACATGCAGCTTGTGGGGATAGGTTAATTGGATAATCTCAAATTGTCACTAGGTGTGAATGTGCGAATGAATGTGAGTGCAAATGGTTGTCTGTCCCTGTGTGTTGGCCCTGCGACAGACTGGCGACCTGTCCAGGGTGTACCCCGCCTTTCGCCCTATGACAGCTGGGATAGGCTCCAGCGCCCCCCGCGACCCTGAAAAGGATAAGCAGAAGCGAATGGGTGGATGGATGGATGGATGAATTGAAAGAAATCCTGATCCTCACCATAAACCTACTCAGCCCAGCAAGGTCTGAGATAACCTGGTGAAAGCTAAAACCACTGTAAAAGTGCTCTACACAACAGAAGTTATGGCAAATTCTATTGTAATGCTAGAATAAGTTAGCAATACAAGTTCAATCCTGTAACCAGTTTTTAAAAAGAAAAACAGTGAACTGCACTAAGCTGCCTACAGGTTGTATGAGTGGCGAAGTAGTTTATGTGCAACTCTCTGCAACACTACTGAGAAAAAAGACATATTTCAGTCAGAATGAAAAAGGAAACAAATGTTTGTACTTTACCAGAAGATATCCTTTGTCTCCGTTCTCTTTCCTTTGCTGGATCTTGGCAACTAATCCTGTATGTTTGGGTGTTGGACAGAAATAAGGGGGTGAAACATTTTTTGTCTGCATAATCAAAGAGTATCACACAACCAGCAGTAATCTTGTTCCTGCAGCAGCGGGATTATTAGTGCCTTCTATTAAAGTTGGAAGTTGTAATGTCTGAGTTCCAAGTTAGAATTTTCAACTGGAAGTTGGATTTTCAACTCTGAAAATCAGAGCAGCCCCATCAACCCAAAGTTAACTTAAATGGACCTCCACATATATACCTGTTCAAGGACCTGATGATCCCCACAACAGGATCATCAAGGGGGTCCATATTTGTTTTGTTTGGCTGCAGTAAACCAGGAGACAGGTTTAGCAGGACCTGCTTCCTGGATTTATGGTGACCTGACAAAGCAAGGCTTTCCTCCAGTGCAGAGTCCTGAACACAAAAATGAAAAATTAATCCACGTGGAAAGAAAATAGACCGGGTCAAGACTGTCTGCAAAAGGCAGAAGAAAAATAGAAGAGGAGGGCATAGACCCCATGCAGCCTAGAAAGAAGAGAAGCAGTGCAGAAAAACAAGGCAACAGGTGGTGGATAGGAAGTGACATACCAAACTCAAATCCAGGTACTGACAGCACTCCCTGAGTTCTTTATTGATTGATGACAGGAAGGAACAAACCTGATCTGGAGACAGCTGCATATAGAGAAAATATTCACGTTGGAGCTCTTGTTCTTTGGTATAAGTACTACAGTCCTCTGTACAGTAACTGAATAGGAGTAATAACAGTAGTCATTTGACCAGGGGTGAAAAAATAATGTTATGTTACTACTATAAGTATGGACACAGATTTTTTTTTCTGTGGCTTTTGTTTAATTATGTGCAGTTTGGTGGAGTTTGTACTGTTCATTCTTGCCTCTTTTAATTCTACCAGTTTTCCCATTTTCCTGCTTTTTTTCCCTACCAGCCCTGTTCAATTAGCCAATGTTCATATTATATCTGGATTAGACCATCTCCATTGTCATCTTCTCAGACATGTCCTGACAGCATCCAGCAAACCTGCTTTTCAGAATTGTTTCCTGGAAGCTCTGACCACATACACTGTGTTCTTTGCAGTTTCACCACAGCCCTCAAACTTGTGGAAATAAAACAAATATAAGCTTCTGTTTCAGAGGTGCACAAAAAGATGACCACGAGTCTGAGATCACTCAAATTCATATCAGGTAAGCCTTTTGGTTTTAATTGGTCCTGTTCTTGGACATTTTTGATTACTTCTTGTATTTATGGGCCACTGTTCTTCCAGCTGCAATATAACTTTGTCACTGCACAGTCAAATCTCCCAGCTACCTTACTACCTGTGTGTCATCCAACATCTTCCTCAGGTCCTCCAGTCTTTTGCTGATAACAGTCTGCTGGTGGTTACTTCTGGCAGCCTGGACGGGCCCAACAGTATTAATAAACAACCAGCAAAGACAGAGAGAGACAAGCAGACAGAGAGAGAGAGATGGGCACCTCAGCTTTGATGTGAACTTGTGTGCTGGTGATCATTTTCTGGGCGTCCTCAATAAATTTCACCTCAGACTTCAAAAAGGACAGTTTCTCTTCCAAGGGAGCCGACACTTCTTTCACCTGCAAAATATCATTAGACTGTTTAATGTTGAACACCAGAACTACCTCTGGAGTCTCCACTAGTGTGCATAGAGTATTGCTACCATAAATATCATGTGAAAAAATTCAGTTTCCACCTGCCAGACATTTAGTGGTCTCACATATCATTCCACTTTAAAACTTATTACTATTACTACTTATCTCTCAAGTCCCTTGGACTTTTTCTATATTGTTCTATTAATTAATTAATTAATTAATAATTAAAGGTAAAGACCCAAGAATCTGCTTTGCTGACGACCAGATATAAACACATTATATTCACGATCTATACTGTATATAAAAAATGTACACAGCGACCTGGACATTGACAATAGTGTAAGAAAGCAATATTGTTTTTCAGATTATTCCAAAAAACACCAATAAACACCAGATTATTGGACATAGGGCCTACAGTAGCATGTTCTTGGCTATCAAAGAGACTGGGTCCTTTCGATTTAGAGGAGTAGCAGCTCTACTCTGAGCCCCTCCCCGATGGCCCAACTCATCACCCTATCTCTAAGAGAGAGGCCAGCTTAGACAAGGCTCATTTCCGCCGCTTGTATCTGCAATCTTGTTCTTTCCGCCACTAACGAAAGCTGGTGACCATGGATGAGGGTAGGGACATAGGTATACCAGTAAATTGACAGCTGTTGGCTTTATCAGGCCACCCCCTGATAAAGCCAACAGAACTGCATCATCTGCAAAAAGCAGAGATGAGATTCTGAGACCACTCAAGTCGAAGCCTTCCACCTGGTCCAGTGTTCTGCCCAGTCACATCCTTCCAGGTCTCACTGACGTTGCCCACAAGTGTTGAAGTCTCTCAGTAAGACGACAGAGTCCCCAGGTGGACCTTCCTCAAGCATCCCGCCCAGGGACTCCAAAAACTGTCATTCGACACATAACCGCAGATGACAGTTATGACCTATTTCCCGACCCGAAGGCACAGGGAACAAACTCTAACGCCAACCAGGAAAAACTTGGATTGCTTTGGCTGTATGTTTTGTGTAATTTATACTTTTTGAATAGCTCTTTGTCTGGTCCCTCACCCAGGACCAATTTGTCATGGGGGCAAAAAGTCTACTGACAACATAGCCTCTAGAATCCCTGGGACACTGAGGGGCAAAAGCTGTTATAAAGGGGAAACTATACAAATAAAGAAAATGTGATTGTTGGTGCCTTTTGGAGGATTAAAAAATTATCTAAATAAAAGTTATCTAATATGTTTGTGCTTCACTTATGGTGAGTGATATTCTAGTATTGTCCCAGTGTGTTACTTTCCACTGTTTAGCTAATATGCTAATATGTGTCTGAGCATTGCCCCAGTACAGTTCATGTATGCAGTTTGCTTACTAAGCTTGTTACTGTTATCTACCTGTCGAACATTCCACTTTCTTGTCCAAATATGGTAACTTCTGACCCCAACTGTTCTCAGTGAAAACACTAAGAATAAGGTTTCAAAATCCTGAGTCCACAATTAAATGGTGACCATATGGATCTTTTATATATAGTCTAGGTTTGTTGTCATCATGGGGCCACCAGGCAAGAGAATTGTGATGGAAATAGGAATTTTGTCCAAAGAGCGACCAGGCTCTACTCGACCATTTTATGCAAACTGTGCTTTACAGAAGTAACAATTAACAGAGGATAATACATTGCACCTTCTGTAAGCTCCTGGATTCAAAAGCCTCAAGAGCAGAGTAGATGGACTCCTCAGTTGTGCTGATACGCTTAGTTTCCTCCCTCACCCTTCTCTGAAACATCTTTAGCTCCTGAGGTGCAAAATCTCCTCCTTCACTGAACAGCCTGCAGGAGGAAAACACACTCATCTGGTGATGATCACTTTGTTTTGCTGAAGAGTCTGCTGCAGCTGCCGTTACCTGAAGGAGCTGAGGAGTTGTGCTGTTTTGTTTTTGCCCTCCTCCATTCTTATCATGACTGTCTGTCTGAAGTTGGTCAGCCAGTCCTGCGTTTCTTTGATGTGTCTATGCAGACAGTCCTGCAGGGTGGTGCTAGCAGCCTCCCAACTGCAGAGAAACATACCTGTGGTCAGTGTCTCGGTCTCACTAAGCTGACAGTCACATAAAGGTGCAGATAGACAGTTTTTACTGTTGACTGCTGCTGGCTGTTTGGATGTTGGCCTCAATGTTGGACAAAGTGACCATAAGCTCCATGTTCTTTTTCTTTATGGAGGCCTGCAGGTCTTGCAATTCCATCCTACAGGAGGTCAACAGGTCCAACACACCCTCAAAGTGGGTGTCCACATGCTGTCTGTGGAGCTGTAGCTCAGCTACGCACAAAGACACAGTTTGGTTAAGAGGTGTTTTCATTATTAACCTGTCACTATATGCTTCTAGTTGCTTCTGTAAAAATAATATGGGAAGGACCACAGACTATTAATATAGATGGACATTGGTATTGGTAGTGACGTGCAAAGCAGATGCTACAGAAAGTGAATGACATTTTGTGACTTCAAGCATCTAACTTAACTGCTGGCAATGAGACGTATCCAGACAAGAGGTAATCTTTTCCCAAAGAAGCTGATTCTGAATACAATTTTGGATGTTGAACTTCCAGTGGGAGAAACAGTGGGTGGCTGTAGCTCAGGAGGTTGAGCAGGTCACCTACTGATCGGAAGGTTGGTGGTTCAATCCCTGGCTCCTCCAGTCTGCATGTCAAGTATCCTTGGGCAAGATACTAACCCCAAGTTGCTCTCTGATGCATCCATCGGGGTGAATGTAGTTAAAAAGCACTCAGTATAGAGAAAGTGTTTGGGTGAATGTGACATCTTGTCTAAAATACTCCGGCTGGAGTAGAAAAGCACTATATAAGAATCAGTCCATTACCAATCAACTTTCTTACCTGGATTATTGAGCAGACAAGATAATCTTTTCTCAACTTCCACGCAAGCTACTAATGAGAGTGAAAGATATAATTGATTGACATATGGCCTGGTATTAAATATGCTACAGGGTCACTTAGGCAACTGGAGCATTGAAGGACCACTAGCTGTTAGCTTCAAACAACTAGACTACTTCCAGGGTGGATGCAGTTTTAAACCTGTATTCTTTTCAGTGGCCAGCATGAGTGAGTCATTTAGTTGAAAAACAAAATCTTATACGAGGATAATAATAATTAACTGGCAAAGTCGGAAAACCTATTATGAGTTGCTTCAAAAAAAATTTTCACTGATGATTCTATAACTGCAGTTTTATTGTCGATTTATGTCAGTGGCTGTTAAAGTTAGACATTAGAGACATTTTAAAATCATTTCTGAGTGGCAGCACTTGCTTGTAAAAGGATTTGGTGTCTTTTAACCTCATG